ACCCGTGCACACAGAGCGCTGCAATACATGAACCAGCAGAGTTTCAAGGAATGGGTGCTGAAACAGGCTCTTGCTGGAGGCAGGGGGCTGTACAACATGATCAAGCCAAAGAAGGTTTTTGTAGGAGAGGTTCGTTCAGGAGCCGCCTCTGCGCCAGACGCCATCAGCCGAATCGGACTCAAGGAGGGGGCGTGGGGCGCCAAGCGGGGGGCTGGGCGCAAATGCACCTCAGAGGCTGTTCTTCTTTGGCGGGAAGCGCAGAGGCAGGCTATCCAGAACCCGCCCCCACCGCTGGAGCCAGAGCATGTCCAGAAAGTTATCGCTAAAGTGCCAAGTCGAGCCAGCGGGATAGATCAGTGCAACAAAAAAAGATTTTGCCTTTCTCCCGCCAGCAGCCATTCAGCAGTTAACAGATCTTTATAACGCCGTCGAGGCGAGAGCGTGCTGGCCATGGCAGCTCATGGCAGTCCTAGTCATGTTGCAGGTCAAGACACGCGAGGCCGACAGAGCGATTGGCTTACTGCCGTGGCTCCCGCGCTTGTGGGGCAGGCTCAGGCATTTTGAGCGAGCTGAGTGGTGCAAAAGGCGAGCAGGTCACTGGGGCACAGCTGTTGCTGGATCATCGGCACTCAGGGTAGCTGTGTGGAGAGCATTTCAGGACGAGCTTTCAGAACAGTCAGTCATACCAGATTTAGTGCACGCAAGCCTGCTGTGGGACGTACAGGGCTTCTACGATTCCTTGTCGTGGGAGCTGGTGCTTTCCAAGGCGCTTGCATTAGGATTCCCAGCAAATTACTTAGCGCTCGAACTTCAGATGCACATGTCGCCTAGGTTTTTGAGAGAAGAAGGATGTTTTTTTTCAGAAGCGATTCAACCCAGTATGTCTCTCATCCCAGGCTCGACAGGAGCTGTGGACCAAGGCAGATGTGCGCTCTATTTCATCTGTGAGGAAGTGGCTAGATGCCCTCCTCCGACACCAGGCCTCCGCACATGGGTAGACGACATAGTACAACGCTGTGAGGCACCGAGGCAAAGGCTTGTGGGCACACTTTTCAAGGCTGGACAACAGTTGGTAAAGGGTCTGCAGGCAGTCAGTTTGGCGACGGCGGACAAATCATGCGTCATCTCATCGTGTCCCCAGACGGCTAGTGAACTGGCCCAGCGCTTTGCAGCAGCCAACATCAGCATCCAGGTGAAATCGAATGCGCCAGATCTAGGTTTGGACAGAGGCAGAATAGCAAAACGTTGACCCAAGCAGGCAGCGAGACGAGTTGCAGCAAGTTTTAAGATCCGCAAGCTCTCGAGGTTTGCGAAGGGAGCGCGTGAGCACAGGGAGCTGCCTAAGAGAATGATTTCGGTCTCGGCGTTCGCTCAGTCGCGTTTCTCGGATCAGGTGTATGGGACAGCTCCCAGCATAGTGCAGCGCTGGAGGCGAGCGATGGCCGACCTGTCGAGCAGGAAAAAACACGGCCGTTGCTTGACGATCCTCCTAGCGCTAGAATACGGTACGCAGGATCCAGCGTATACAGCATTTGATGTGGTCAAGATGTGGTTCACAATTCTAGGCGATTTAAGGGTGAATGTGGAGCGCGTGCAGAGAGGCTGGGGAAGAGTGCTAGCCAATTTAAGCAGCAAGGCCCCCAGACAACGCTGGAGGCGAGTGTGCTCACCCATGGCAGCCACGATCTGTACCATGCTAGATCTAGGCTGGAACCCTGAAGGGCCCTGGAGATGGCACAGTGACATCGGGGAGACCTTCGAGGCGCCAGTAGAGATGATCGGGAGAGGCCCTCTCGACAAGTCGCACATTCTTTTTGCGTGCATAGCGGACAGTATCGGTAGGAGGCTCTGGGCGAAGGCGGCCAAGAACTCCTGGATGGGAGAAGGGCTGCAGCTTGTGCCCGACATGAAGGGCCCCCGTCGACAGTGCCGCATGGCTTTAAAGCGTAGCGACTATAAGTGGAAAGGCCTTTTACAGTGCGTCATGACAGGAGCAACATGGTGTAGACAGAGACTTTTTGAATATGGCCTGGAGCCTGACCCCGTGTGCCCACGCTGCGGACAGGCTCCGGAAACTGACAAGCATCGTTGCTGGGAGTGCCCAGCTAATCAAGAGTTTCAAACGATTTCCAGCGGCATAACTGCAAAAGCGAGAATAGAGTCGGATAATTTGCCCAGCATGTGGATTCGAGGATTGGTGCCATCTACGTGGACTAGTGTCCCAGATCCGACAGACGAGGACATCAGCTATGTTTTTGGTAGGTCAAACCACCAAGTCTTCGGAGACCCAGGCGTCATCTTTGGAGGAGGTGACGCCAGCGGGGGGAAAGATCAGGATCCCAAACTGCGCCGAGTGGCCTGGGCCTTTGCTGCCCTTGGCGGATTCCGAGAGGACGGGAGTTACGACGTGGGTGAGTTGAGGTTGGGGCACTTGCAGGGAGGGAATCTGCCAGGCTTTTTTTCAGACAGTAAATCGTGGTGAAGCCACAGCGTTGCTGGAATTTACAGCTGCAGTCCTTCCGCAGGCGCGCGCAATATATGTGACGGACTCAGAATATGTCATGCGGGGAGTCGAGAAGCTAAAAGTAGGCAAGCTTCCAGACACGCATGTGGATGTCTGGCGGCGTCTTGGAGAGACGCTGGCGGAGCACCCAAGCAGAGGAACTCGCGTGCTGAAGGTGGAGAGCCACCTTAATGCGGAAGAGGCGATCGAACAGAGAGTTGATCCTGCCACCCTCTTGGTCAATGCTATCGCGGACACCGCAGCGAGCAGACTTGCTGAGGAGTTCAGAATTTCGTTTGCTGACAGATGCAGGGTTGAAATGGCAACGGCAGTAGGTTTTTCGGTCAGGAAGCATTTAGCCAAAGTCCTGGAGAATGTGATCGAGAAGGTGCCCAGGCACCAGCCCAGTAGGAGAGCCATGTATGAAAGAAGAGAGAGAGAGAGAGAGAGAGAGAGAGAGAGAGAGAGAGAAGAGCGCATTATCAAGCTCACTGAGCACAATGGTGCGCGCATCCTAGGCTCCAGAGTGAGACGCAGGGAGTGTGGAGGATCCGCGCCGAGGAGAGAGTTGAATCGTTTCCTTGACACTCCCTGTGTGAAGAGTTTAATGAGAGACGTGGTGCTCTCACCAGCGGGTAGACAGGTCTTCAACGGCCGAGAGCTGCATGTTTCACACGCAATCGGAGTCCATCAAGTGTTTGGGACTTTGATCTGTTTGAAATGCGGGTTCTATGCCCAGAAGGGGGCGAGGAACCTCATTCTTCCCTGCCAGGGCCGACCCACAGTTCACGGGAAACGGGCCCTGCGCAGGCTTCAGAAAGGTGAAGTGCCAGCTGTTCGGTCAAGAGGGACCGACAGAGTTACAGCGAATTAGTAACAGGTTGAGCCACTGGCTGGAAACAGAAAAAAAAGTCTCTGCGTGCGGGATGTGCTGTTTCAGCGCAGACCGGGCCGCCTACGATGCGATTCCATGCGCCTCGACTCGCAGGCTGGAGCCGCGATTCCGGTTCGATCCGATTGGGCTGTGCTCTCTGGCGTCGCTTGGGCCCGCTGGAGCTGGGCGCGGCGCTACGATCTCGATCTCGGCCTCGATTCGTGACGGTTCGTGGGCGATCCGAGCCGTTTCCGATGCGATCTCCCGATGCTTTCTGTTGCATCTTCGGGGGGCCTGGCCTGTCCCCAAAATTTGCGTCTTTCCTTGTACCCGACACGGGCTCGATGCGGACTCGACGCGGATTTGGCGTGGATTCGACGCGGATTCGACACGGATTCGACACGGATCCGACGAGTCCGACATGGATTCGACACGGATTCGACGCGGATAAGGCCGCGACGGGACAGACAAGGTCCCCCGAGGATGCAACATAAGATTCTAATTATGCGGTTCAGGCCCGACGCATTGTTGGCACACCGTGGCGGCGTCAGCCCGTCGGTGGTGCAGTTCGTGGTCGGCGTTGGAGCGCCGTGGGCAGTGTGAGACATGCGCTGCGCCGGGAACTCCCGCAATCGTGTGCGACAGCTCGGGGGTCGTCGAGGGCACGTATCGTCGCTGCCGCGGTGGGTTTGCACATCGCTGGGCGCTCTAGCAATGATCGCTGTCGCCTGGACGGGATCTGCTCGTCCTGCTGCACCCCGGGTCAGACTTTGCAGTTGCGTGCTATTTGCCATGTCCCCCCCCTGCCCTTTCTGCCCCCCGTTGGGTGAGCAGGTGAGGTGAGGGGGTCGAGCGGGGAGAGGGAGTGGATAGGTGGAGGAGGAGTACGTGGGGAGGATAGGGAGGGGAGGGGAGATCGGACGGGGCTAGGATGAGGATCAAAATCCATTCCAAAGCGGTGCGCTCTCAGAAGCCCGCGGCGCCCGAGACGTCCTCCAGAGCCGCCGGATCTCAGAGATTGTCAAAATATCCTCACCCGAGTTGATCTTCGTCCAGGCTTCGTCATCAAAGGGGAGAGGAGGGGGTGACCGCGAGGAGGAAGGAGGGCCAGGACTTTCCAGGTGCGGGACCAGAAAGACAGGGAAGATCGGGGGCAGATCGAGCAGTGGCGCAGCGTGCTGGCTCGCCTACAGGCCCACCAAACAATGCCCTCAGAACCTTGAATGGTTTGCTCGAGATGTTCTTGGAATATATATATATATATATATATATATATATATGGCTGACACCGTTCTGTTTTGACACATCGGCTTTGGTTGGCCTATGGGAATGCCGCGACGGTCGGTCCCTGCTCAAGCAGAGGGGGATCGGGGGGACCGACATGGGTACGGAAACGATGGGTGCAAAGCCTAACATCAGCTTAACAACAGCGGATTCGGTGTCGGCGTCGCGACCGATGTTGTGCATTTGAGACAGAAGGCCGCCTGCCCAACAACGGCCGCTGTCGGCTGTGGACACCACTTGTTGCTGGGCATCGTGCCGATGTCTTCCGTACCCATTCCAGGTCTCCGTGGGTGAGGGAGGGGGTGATGCCTCGGCGCGCGGGCACCACCTCCGAGACAGGCCGTGGGCAAGTGGGTCGAAGGCCAGCGCCCCCGCTTCAAGAGAGAAGACCTGGACGGGATGAAGCCCAAGGACGCCCCCGGGGCCCCCGAGGAGGATTGGGGGCAGGGGCTCGAGGAGATCGGGGCTGGACGAGAGGGCAGGCGAGGGGAAGGGAGGGGGGGACGAAATCTGCCGCAGGCGGCTGGTTCCCGCCCCGCCCCGCCGCCGGGCCCACCCCTCGACGCGTGGGCGCCGCCCGGGCGCCAGGGGGGGCGCCGGGAAAGCCGGCTGCGGGAGCCGATCCTCTGCCCTGCCCTCTGCCGTCCTGCCAATCCTGACCTTCCAGAGTGAGCGCTAAAGGATGGCGCTCCAGACCTCATTTTAGACCTGCCTGGACTGCCTCAAACCTCGACAGGATCTAGACAACGTCGACAACCTGGTGCTATTTCTTAGCCCTCCCGGCAGGTCAGGGAGGTCGCCCCCCCCCCCTCGAGGAGCGCAGGTGCTCGCGGCGCGCCCGGGGGGGGGGGCGCGAGAGCGCGAGGGCGGGCCTGCTCGGACGGCGGCGGGACGCCGCGGGACCGCCGGGCAGAGCCTCTCGGGAGGCCGGCGCTCGTCTGAGCCTCTCGGGAGGGCCCGCCCCGGTGGCGCGCCGCGGCGGCGCGCCGCCGGGGAGGGCCCTCGCAGGCGAGTTTGCTGCCCCCATCCCCGAGCTCCGCCCGACAAGTTTGGCCGCTGGGAGAAAGGGGGAAGCCCTGGGGTATACTCGAGAGGGGCCATTCGGACGCACCCCTAACGAGGATGGACGCCCCCCCATGGTACATCTCAGGTTCGGGCCCCAAATTTCTGGTCCACTCGAAAACCCCACGAAGCCTGGGATAGGGGTCGGCACAGACATCAAGAGAGGGACCCTCCTGCAGGATTCATTGACAGCACATCGACGACGGAACCGTCTTCTGGGCTCTACCGTCTTCTGGGCTCTCTGCCTTGCCCATCGCCCGCCGCAGCCCGTCGTGCTCTGCGCCGCCGCTTTCTTCCTCTAGCTGGTTTGGTTAGTTGCTGTTATCATTTGAATGTCGCGGGGCCCAGCTTGACAAGAGTTTGGTTTTCGTTTGGCATGGTCATGTCTAGCGAATCATAGTACGACTGTCACCAGCGGTTTGATGTGGACTGTCTGGTCTGGTCGGGCGTTGTGTGATATGGTAGGTTCGGGCCCTTTTTCCAAGCGAACGCACACATATAGTTACGTCTCGGGTCTTTGAGTAGGAACATCTTGGGACTGATTCGGAGTATCCTGCGTCTTCTGCCGTCTTGAGGGCCTCTTGGATAAGTGGATGAGCTGTGGTCGTGATTTGAGACATCTGACTCTTTTGGGGGGAACTGGGGCATCCTGGACCATCGTAGAGCCTTTTTTCTGGAGCGTCTTGGGGTCTGCTGAGCCGTTTGGGATCCCCCTTGAGAACAGGAGTCAATTGGTGTCAAAAAGGGTCGGTCCTTGGGGCAATCTTGGAGGCCACAGCGGGCAAACACCGTTTTATGCTATAGCCTTCGTTGCGCATCAGCGTTGTTGGTCTTGCTCGCTCGTCCTCCGCCTCCTGTTCCTCGTCTGCCTTCCCTCCCTCCCACTCTTCCTTACGGTAGGTTCATGCGGCGTTGGCGCGTTGGCGACGTTGGCGAAGGCGTTCAACGTTGAATTCTGCGATGCGGAAGCACCGATAGACGCGGTATGGGTAATGCCTTTTGGAGCTGACGGCATTCAAGCCTGAGTGATTGGGGCCGCGATCGTCGATTCGAGGCTGAACGATCGACGCGGTGTCGAAAACCTTGGCGCGCGCCGACGCCTCACCAACCTGCCGTGAATGGTAGATCACGGACGTTTCTGCTCGTCTTTGGACCGATCGGATGGATGCATGTCGGATAATAACATTTTGTAGCGCTGAATGGGGTACAGCAGCGCCAAATGGCGCACAGTGGCGCACAGCAGCGCCGAGGAGCGCTCAGCTAGCGTCCAAGCGCGACCACTCGCGCCCAATAGTGCCACGTGCGGGAGATGCATTCTGTCAGCCTTGCATGCGGTTGGGCGCGCTGTTTGGCGCCATGCGGACTCTTCCGTTTCCCCTCTGCCGGCAATTGGCGTCATGGACTTCAGGTCTGAATTGTTCATTTTTCTGCGTGCAGTCCGCTCCAGAACCTCTCAGCCTGGCTCTTGGTGCGTGGCGGCATGCGCGTTTCGACACCTCCTGTCGAGTCATGATGGTCGCCGCCATCTTCTTCCTGACAGCGTGTCAGGTCTTCACCACCCACCAAACCACCCCAACCCAACCCGAAGGCTCAGATTTACCCTCGATTTCCAGTTGGGGGGGGCGGGAAACATAGAAAAAACACATGTGGAACCCTTACCCCCCCCAACCCGAAATTCGAGTCTTCGGGTGGGTTGGGGTGGTCTGGTAGGTAGTCAGGTCTTGCGATCCACGGGCCCCCGAAGCTGGGACAGTTGCGTCCTCCGAGCCAGTTCGCGCGCGAGCCGGCGGGGTGCGGCGCAGCGGCTCCCCAGGAGTTGCGGTCGTTGTGCGTCCAGTATGGCGTCCTGCCAGGCGGTCTGGCGTGACGGACGGAGGGGAAGGAGGGGCAGGCTCCCAGAAGGATTGTTGGAGGAGGTCGTGGGAGGCAAATGGTCCCATACCGCTACTCTCAAGTCGGGCCTCTCCCTATACAGGGGGGAATTTCAATAGTCAAAAAATAGGATGGGGACTATTGTTTAGTATTTTTGTTGCCATTTTGGAAATATGTTTTGAGTATGTTTTACTTTTCGTCGAAAACCCCCTGTAGGGGGACCCGCCCGACTTAACGCTACTCATCCCCTGGGTCCCTCGTCTCCATGGCCGCACACTCCTCGAAGTTTTCTGGCCAGGCCGCACTCCGTGAGAGCCGTGGCGCAGCGGCGTCCCTTTTTTTTTAGGGGGGGGGGTCCCCTGGGAGAAAAGGGAGGAGGAGCAGGGGGAAGGGGCAGGGGCCATGGGGGAGGAGGAGGAGGAGGACGCAGGAGAGCTGGAGGACCATTCAGTCGGGGCCCTGAAGAAGGAACCCTCTTCGTTGGGGAGGGGCTCCGTGTTCCTTGATTGTTTCACAGCTTGCCTTAGGTTCCTCGGGTTTTCCTTAGGTCTTCGATGGGACATCGAACTGTAACTGATGGGAAACAGGGGCCTCGGTCCTTCTTTAGCGTTCCTTAGGTCAACGCCCCCAATGTGGGGGGTGGAGCAGGACGCGGTGGGGGGGGGGCTGGTCCCCCGGGAAACGGGGAGGAGGAGCAGGGGGAAGGAGCAGGGGCCATGGGGGAGGAAAGGAGGAGGACGCAGGAGAGCTGGAGGACGATAGGGGGGTGGAGCAGGGAGCGGTGGGGAGAGAAAGGGGAGCACGCCTGCCTTGTGCACGCCGCGGGCGCGGCACGGGCGATCCACGCGCGCGCGCGCTCCAGGGGGGCCACGGCAGCAGGGGAGAGGGGGAGGAGGGGCCGGAGAGCGGCCGCGGCGAGCGGGAGATGGATGGGGCCCCGGGACACAGAAAGAGATACACACAAAAAACAGGATTCCCAATATTTTCCCATGTTTTCTGGGAGGTGAAGGGGCCCTGGGAGTCACACACACACATATATATATATATATATATATATATATATATATATATATATATATGTGTATGTATATATACACAAATAACAGGAGTCCCAATATACACAAATAACAGGAGTCCCAATCTTTTCCTTTATTTTCTGGGTTTTTCGAATTCCCTCTCTTCCCATACTTTTTCATTGATTTTCTGGGGAGCCGAGGATTGATTGTGTCTGTGTGCTTTTTCCCCTCCTCAAAAGGGAGGGCACTGGGGGCCCTCCTTGCACGAAGACTCTTGTCCGGAGTGGCAGGGTGTGGCCAGCCAGTGCTGAGGCAGCCTGGCAGTGGACGTGGAGCCGCATCGCGGCGCGGCCACACCGGGAGGGAGAAAGCACGGGGGGGGGGGACCACACGCAGCAAGGCGGAGGTGGAGGAGAACCAGCTGTAGCAATTGCTTGCAGATTTCATGTTCCAGGGGTAGCACAAGGGGTGGCAGGGTCATGGATGAAGGGTCACGTTGGAGGGCGAGGTTTTTTCTTGTGTTCCCCCCGCCCTCCCTCGTCTAGGCCTCCCCGACGGGGTCCGAGCAGGAGGGGTCGGAGGACCGTGCCGCATCGCCGATGCACCGGCGAATCGGCTCGATGTGGATCCAGATTTTTCAACGCCAACGTTTCCGCTGCATCGACAACGTCGCCGATGCATCGGCGATGCATCGGCGATGCATTGGCGATGCGGCGAGATCCTTCGACCCCATCTACTCCGACCCCAATCCAGGTGGCCTCGACCTCGTCGAACTCGCTTCGCCGAGAGCTGCCCGAACCATCGACTTGCATCGAAGTGCCCGCGAGCCAGCGCGGTCTCTGAGAAGCGCTGGGGAGCTGCCACCAGACAGCGCCATCGAGGCTGCAGCGGATGTGTCGCACCAGCTGGCCGCTCTGCGAAGGAGCCTGCGCGCGCCGGCGAAGCCGCAGACGCGCGCCAGGCAGCGCCTGCTCGGGCTCTGGTGCGCGCCTTCGCAGACCATCTCAAGCCCGCTTCTTTCCGCCCGTTTTCCATTTTTCACGAGGGAAAAACCACACAGACACAATGAATCGTCGGTAGTGGGGGGGGGGAGAAAAAAGAAGCACAGAAAGTATTGGAAAATATGAGGGATTCGGTTATTTGTGTGCACTGAGTTGTGTGTCTCCTTGGGCAATTGTACACCCCTCTCCCGGTACACCCGGTACACCCCTCTCTGCACACAATCGACTCCCCGTCAGGTCAAGTACTGGTTGAACCCGGCCGGCTTGGGCGCGAGCTGGGTAAAGCATACATTTTCGCAATGTACTGCCATAGTGCCTCCAGCGCTGATAATGATCCGTCTACGCGCTCTCCTAGAATCGAGCTGCATGGCAAGGTGGCGAAGCGAAGCGGGTCCTTCGCGGGAGGCTGCGATCTTGAGACAATTTCACCCGACTAGATGGCCCAATGAATGCTTCGGTCAGCCTCGCTTTCTAGGCCAGACACCTTTCGCATCTCCGCGGTGCTCTGTTCAAGCAGAACGCCGCGTGGCATCCAGGCCATCTATCGTCTACTCTCTCACGATGCAGGAGCAGAGCTCTGGCTTCTCGGCGATACCGAGTTCACTGGAGTCCGATGCTCTGCTGACGCACTCCCAGACGGGCCAGTGTGGCTTCCGGACGGCCCAAGAGGCGCCCAAGACGCGCCCACGACGCCCCAAGACGGCTCCAAGAGGACCCTTCCGAGGGCCCGACGAGGCAACAATTGCTCCGTTCCCTTATGTAGGAGAACGGCCCAAGACCAAGACGGCGCCAAGAGGCCCCGAGAGGGGCACTGGCGGGTGAATTCGAGCCGACATTTCGAGGCCTCCGCCCCAAGAGGGCGCCGAAGACCGCGAGCAGGCCCCCCAGGACTCCCCCCGAGGACCCAAGAGGCCAAAAGGAGACCCCGAAAGGAGGAGCCCCAAGAGGCTTCAAAACTGTCTCCAAGAGGCTCCCCATAGGCTTCCCCCAGGACCAGAGCAGGCATTCCAGAGGTCTCACATCAGCAGCCCAAGCACAGTGTCAGGATGGGCAGGAGGCCACCAGGAAGGGCACACGTGGACGATGGCCACAGTGGCCCCTCCTGTCTGTCCGCACATTTCGAAGCCTCGAGCCCGAGGGGACCCAGGAGACCGCCCGCGGGCCACTCAGAACCTACGCAAGAGGATCCTAAAAGCAACCAAGAGACCCAAGAGAGGCTCCAAGAGGCCCCCAACGACCCACAAAGGGTGTCAACACTGCCTCCACGAAGTTGCCCGGAGGCTTCCCGAAAGACCCCAACAGGCATCCAAGATCCAAGATGTCTCTGACCATTATCCCAGGCATTGTAGAAGGATGGGCCGAAGGCCACCAGGAGGTGCACACGTGGACGAGGGGCACCGTGGCACCTCCTCTCTGTCTTCCAAGGCTCCGCTTCTCCTTCTGCTGCTGTCCCTCCTTGCCGTTCTGCCCTCGTCTCCGTCGTTGTCATGCTCCCAGACTATCCCCCCTCTTCTCGACCTCGAAACCAGCCCCCTCGTCCTCCTCGTCGTCCTCCTGGAGACCTCCGCGCTCAGGGAAGGGCTGGCCCTCGGGCCGCGACCCCGCGGATGCGGGGAGCTTTCTTCGCGGAAGCCCCGCGCGGAGCGCGGTCGTGCGACGCGTGTCCGCGGGATCGCGCCCGACAATCCAGGCCACAACTTGGCATCGCTCGAACGTGTGCAGTCTGCCTCGGCGAGGACCATCGGGGAGCCGCTCGGATCCCTTTCGCGAGCACGGCCGAGGCCGGGCGATGCACGGGGGAACGGACGCCCGAGCGGCGACAGCAAGACGGAGGCGTGGATCTGGATCCGCTCGTCGGCCGTGAGACAGGAGGGGAAAAAACACACACGGACATAATGAATCGTCGATTCCTAAGAAAAAGGGAGAAAATATGGGAATTGGGGGGGAAGACAAAAACCAAGAAAAAAATAAGCAAAATATTGGGAGTCTTTTGATTTGTGTGTATGAACTTTTGTGTCCCAGGGCCCCTTCAGTGAGGCGCGACGGCTGGGCGCAGCGAGGCCGCCCCCGCCGCGGCCGCAGCGATTTTTCCCGCCCCCCCCGCCGCGGGCCTCGGGCGGCGGAGGCCCGAGGCGGGCGCGCGTCCCCCGCCTCCGCCAGGGCGGAGCGCCCTTCGGGGGCCTCGGCGCGCGGGCAGGCGTGGGCTCGGCCCGGGGCCGGGGCCCCCCTCCCCTGCCGTCGAGCTGGTGCCTCGGCCCCCCACTCCCGCTGCGCGATGGGGTCCGCCGCCTCCCGCCCCCCCCCGCCCTCCCACCCCCCCGGTGGGCGTGGCGACGACGACGATCGCGACAGGGAACGACGTGGGGGGAGGGGACGACGACGACCACGAGAAGAAACGAAGAGACGATGGGTGACGGTCCGCAACTTGCACGCCCAGGGCACACCCGCCACGACACGACGCCACGCCAACGGTGGGGGGGGGCTTGGGCGGATCCCATCGCGCGGCGGGTGGGGCCGAAGGCATCGGCATGACGACCGGGACGGCCTCCTTTCCCGCGCCCCCAAGGCACCCCCGCCGCGCCACCTGGAGGGGAGGGCCCGTGGGCCCGGAGCCTGGGGTCATCTACGCTCTGGCCTCCTGGGGCCACAAACGATTGCAGTCGGACCGAGCTGGAAACTCGAGGTCGGTTCGGGGAGGGTACCTCAATGTTCCTCGTGTTCGTTGGCTGTTCTTCAGGAGGGAAAAAACACACACACAATGAATCGTCGATTCCCAGAAAATATGGGAACATGTTGGAAGTGGGGGGGTGACGAACAGCCAGAAAATGTAGGAAAATTTCGGGAAGCCTGTTATGTGTGTGTATTTATTTGTGTGTCCCAGGGCCCCTTCAGTTCTCGTGCACCCTGCTGGGAGGGCACCCTCGCATGCTCTGTGCGTTTTGGTCGGCGGCGGGTCTCGCGCTCTTGAGGGCTTGTCTTATGTCCCATGTCCGATTGGACGCTCGGGCCTCTTGGGGCCAAGCAGATATCCGCATCCGTTATGTTGTCCACATCGTACTCGAGGCCCACATCCCAGAAATACTTTCGAGCCCCTGAGAAGTGTCGAACAAGTGTCGAGACATTGTCGAACAAGTGTCGCAGGAGTGTCCCCCAGGGCCCGACACGTGAAAACCCTCGAGTTTCGGAATGTCCTTGGTGCTCGAACTTCCTCCTGGTGATCCAGGCCAAAGTAGGTTGCAGCATCACAGCACATCCGCCGCCCGCTGGGGTGCCAGGGCGTCGGTTCCCCGGGACGTCGGCTCCCCCCGTCGGCCCGCGGGGGCACGAGGACAGCATCGCGCTCGGCGCGCCGGCAGAAAGGACGAGTCTCTGCAAGCCCAGGCAATGAGGAAGGGGGGAGGAAGGGGGGGGAGCAGGCGGAGGAGGAGGAGGAGGAGGAGGAGGAGGAGGAGGAGGAGGAGGAGGCGGAGGCGGAGGAGGAGGAAGAAGGCCAGGAGGAGGAGGAGGAGGGGGAGCCCGGGCGATGGATGCGTTCCCGCCTCGCAGCGGGCGGCGCGGGGCGCGCCCCCCCCCTGCATGAGCGGGGCGCCGCCCGCGGCCGTCGCGAGTGCCGAGGGCCCCGCTGCAGCCCCCGCGGGCGCGGATGCCCCCGCGGGGCCCTGCGAGGACCCGCCCGCGGGCCCACCCGCGGCGCCGGCGGCGGCCGCGGGCGCGGGCGGCGAGGCGCGGCCGCCTCGCCTGCGAGTGGTGGTCGGCACCTCGGAGGTGGCGCGGGGTGGGCGGGTTCGGGTGCAGCTCCTGGGAGGTCGAATTCTGACCTTGCCCTGGCCCGAAATCCAGCCCAATCCGGTCTGATCCCATTCAAATCCGAGTGACTCCCGCCGAGTTTGGCTGAATCCCGCGTGATCGCGGCCTAAGCCGGCGTAGCCCCCAATGGGGCTTCATCCTCCTTAGTCCTTCCGACGATGACCTTCCCGCAGTTGCCTCCCAAGACAGGTCCTTGGTCCCCCGGGCTCTCCCAGGTCTCCCCCCCCTTCCCTTTCGTCGTCGTCGCCTCCTGTCTGGGGAGGAAAAGGTACCCATACGCTACCGCTCTTGCTTCGTTTTCCTGTTTCTGGGCCTCCTGGGAGTCCTTCGTTGCCAGCGCGCGGTTCGCCTCGACGTTCTGGTCATGTCGCGCCCCGGTAGCCGGTAGCGGTATATCTTTTAGTTGCCCCACGACAGGGCCTTGGTCTCCCAGGCTCTCCCAGGCCTCCCCCCTCCTTCCTCTTCGTCGTGCTCGCCGTCGTCGTCGTCCTCCTCCTCCTCCTCCTCCTCCTGATCATCTCCCTCCTCACTGGATCGTCCAAGGGGGTGCCGCCTGCGGATCGTGGTGGTGGGGGTTGCTAAAGTCGGCGGTGAGCCCGTGGTGGGAAGTGAGAGGGGGCAGGCCTTTTTGGAAGGCGGCGGGGCTTCTCAGAAGCCCTCGCGACTTCTGAGAAGACGTTTTTGTTTCAGGAGAAAGCTTGGAAAACTTCTCTGAAGGCCAGAGGCATTCCGAGTCTTCTGAGAAGGTCCGCTCCCTCAGACTTTTTCCTTCGGCTAGCTGTCGGCAGTTACACAAAAGGTCAGAGGAGGAAAAGGTACCGATATCCATACTCCTGCCTCGTTTTCGCGTTATTGGGCCTCTTAGGGGTGGGAGGCCTTGTCGCCATTTCTGGATTCACCTCGACATTGTGGTAAGGACGCATCCCGGGAGATGGCTGGGGAGTACCAGTATGGGTACCTTGTGCTTCCCCCTCGCCAGGTGCTAGCAACACGTTGTGTTGATTTTTGTTCATGCCGTTTTCGTTTCCCCGTATTGTTTTCGGGCGCCAGCGCGCGGTCGTTGTGTCTTCGTTTTTGCGGGTGACGGTTTGGAACGACATTGTTTTTGTTCGAAGATGGTCTTACGGTTTCTGCATTGTTTCGAGCGCAAGCAGTGTTCAATACAAGGCCGACGATTTGTTTGCGCCCTGGTCGTTGAAGGTGTCCCTGGCCCAACGTGCCTCTTGGTCGGAGATGATCGGAAGATGGTGGGGAGATGGTGGGGAGATGGTGGGTGTGGAGATGGTGGAGATGGTGCAGATTCGGTGGAGGAAAAGGTACCCGTACCAGTACGCTTCCCTTGTTTGCACCTTTTTTGGCCGCGTGCGAGGCTGTCGTCGCCACCGCTGGATTCGCCTCGAAATTCTGGTCAAACCGCATCCCGGGAGAGGTCCAGGGATTAGCGGAATCGGTACCTCGAGATTCCCCAGAGAAGGTCGGGAGGTGGTTAAAGTTGTGATGGTCGGGGACGATCGGGAGATGGCTGATTCAAGGTGCCTCCCAGTTTTTCGCTCCATCTTGGAGCGCCTGGGGCCCTCTGAG